CATATTCTGTCCAAATTTGTTGCATAATAAGTATCACTAAACTCTCACTCTACAAATATAACTGAGATAATTTCCTTGACATTTTCTCAACTAACTCGTGTTTCTAGAATAGCCACTAAATCTACCTTATATCGTTGTAATATTTCAACTATATACTCGTGCTTTGCAGGGTTATTGAATCCCGCATGTTCCATAAGAGAACAATCATTTACCCTTAGCTTTTGGGGGTCGTCTTGTCCCTTTCTTACCCTTCTTTAGTGGGTTCAGAGTCGCTTTTCCCAATTCAGGGAAATCACACAAACTCTTAGGGTGGAGAAATGGGGACTGTGCTTACTTGGAACTGCTCAAGAGAAGCTAGCACTGCAAAAGAATTATCGTTATTGTTAACTAATGCAGTACCCACTGCCCTCTGGAACTCTCCTTCAATTGGTAATATATTGAGGCACATGTTAGTGTTGTGTTATATGATCCACGATTGGACCTCTCCCAACAACTCGAGTTATTGGGATCAACTGGTTCTTGACATGGTATCAGAGCCTTCTATAACCGAAAGGTCTCGTGTTCGAATCCCAGTAACCCCCATCTGTTCTGTTAAGCACATGGTGTTCGGACCTGTGCCTGTCCAAACTCCAGGCCTATCTGAGTGGTTTGAGTTTGAAGGGGGGTGTTAGTAAATGATATATGATCCAGAATTGAACATTTCCCAACAACTCGAGTTATTGGGACCAGTTGGTTTATGACATGGTATCAGAGCTAGTCTGGCCAAGTGGTCGTGTGTTCGAATCTCCACGACCCCCAATATTAACAGTTGATTAAAGCACAAGGTATGGTGATCGCCTGTGCAAACTTCAAGCCCATGGATTGGCTTTCGTTTGAGGGGGGCGTGTTAGAGAGTGCTATAAGATCCAACATAACATTCTCCCAACAAATCGAGTTATTGGGAGCAACTGGTTCTTGACATGGTATCAGAGCCTTCTGTGATCGAGAGGTCTTGTGTTCGATTACTGGTGACCCCCATTTGTTAAGCACATGGTATTCTTGTCTTCAGACCTGTGCAAACTTAAAGCCCTTGTGAGCAGCTTTCATTTTAGAGGGCGTGTTAGTGTTGTGGTATATGATCCACGATTGAACCTCTCCCAACAACTCGAGTTATTGGGATCAACTGGTTCTTGATAGCACCATCTTTTCGAATAAGGATGGCCGGAGATTTGTAACAGCAAGATTTAGCCCAATGGCCGATTGGCCCAAGCTTGGACTTGATGAATGTGGGGCGAGCTAGTGATGAATTGACCCACTACGAAAACATTCCATCGGGCAATACCTTCCTCCTCGAGCTCCGCTGGAATTCGAAGCCCTCCGTTGACGGACTGTAGAAATTTGTTACGGAGCAAACAGACTAGAGAGAAAGAAAGAGCTGAGCTAGTTTGTCCATTATGGCCATTTAGGGGTTTTTTACTTGTCCCTATAGATTGCCTTCATTTGTGTACTTGTTTCCGTCCGACTTCAAATTTTCAGAAGTTTGTGGTGGTCCATAATGGTTTATGGACGCTATAGGTCGTCATGGCTTTTAGAGAAAATCCATAATCCGTTTGCAAAGAGCACAAGCTTCAAGCTCTTTTCGATTCAAGACCAAACTTACATGTGATGGCCAATAGGTAGTTGGTGATTATTTTACCTTCCATAAGCTAATTGTATGTCATAAATCCTGAAAGTGAAGCCTATTTATACATCTCTCATCACTCAAAATCATGAATCCTTGAATCACAAATCTTAGTATCACTTTTACACACTCAAAACCCTGATTTTGAAACTGTAGGAGGAGACGGCGGCCATAAATCGTAATTGATCATTGCTTTCATAAGTATGCCAAGAAATTGAGCCTATACATCTTAGATCACCAAGATGAGAAACTACATGTTCTATGCGATTATGCATGTTATCTATGATATATTATGTTTGTATGATCGAACTATGAATTAGGCGAGAAATCACGAGCAACATTGAACGTTTAAAACTCGGTATTATCAATCAGTTTATTTTCTTATCATTTCAAAATTGTTCAATTCTTTCATCCTAAGTTGGACAACAATAGACATTTCTTGATGTTATTCATCGGCGATAGAAGTCTATGATGATCTGACATTTGAGTTCGGGTCAGTAAGTCACGTCTCACCAAGATTGTCACCCCAGTTTAGTCTGTTGGTCCGGTCGAGTAAGTGGGTTGAGGGTTAATGGTTGGATTGTTTTAGCCCATATAACCCAGTTTATCTTATATGTATAGGAAAAAAATAGTACACTAATATATAAATTGTTTTTGTAAGGATACTACACTAACCCCTTCTCAAGCTAGTAATAGGTCTGCTGCCCTCCCCCTCGGCCTTGCAGTCATGTGATTTAAGTTGAAGTAAAATATCATAATTGTCCTATATTTTAATATTTATTATAATATATTTGAATTAAAAAACCCTAAATCCCCCATCACCACTCTTCATAGTTGTCATGTCGGTGGCATACCTGCTAGTTGAACCTAGCTCAACTGGTGTCGATCATGAAATCGACATGAACATCACCTATATGACTGGCACGATCGATTTAAGACCTCTAAACAAAATTACGTCATTTTAGTGAATTTAATTAATAGAAAATAATTTTATATTTATTTTCTGGATTTAAAAGTTAAATATTGATGTTATTGTTGGATTCAAGTATAAATGTTTATGAAACAAGGTTAAATATGTATTAAACATGATTATTTGTTATTTTATTTGGAATGTCGTATTTTATTTAAATATTAATATTAATTACATGTAAAATGTTTCCAAATATGTTTTATATATTTTTACACATTTTATGTTAATGGTTCTTCAAATTGCTACTTTATTAAATCGACATGAACCAGAATGAACTGGTACAAAGTGATTGTACCATCGGTCGAGCGATTCAACTTGCTAAACCTACACAATGGTATAAACCAATTTGACAACAAAGCTCCTTCGTAGCTTTCTCCCTACTTCCCCGCCGCCCTTCCTCTCTCTTCCAACAAAAGCACTTTATTCCCACCAGCCTTCTCTCTCCCTCGTGTTTCAAATTTCAATCTTGACGGTTGTCAACCCACGGGTCGACCCACTTTGACTCTGACCCGGTGAGAAAAACTGGCCGCACGCACCCGCCGGGTCGACCTCTACAAGGTACCGGGTTGGAGGTCATATTGTGTCATTTTTTCTTTGGTTTGCGAACTGCCTATTTTTCGCTTTTTCTTTTCGCCTAACTCCATCTTTGGAATACTAAGTTGAACATTTGACCCATTAACCCTTGACCCACTAGCTCCACCAAGTCCGGGTCAACCCGCGGGTTGACAACCTTGAATCTTGTACTTTATTTCCCAGCTTGCGGCCACAACTAAAGCAGTGGACTGCTTAGGGGAGCGGATCAGGTCAGTAACCTTATGGTGAGTAACCATGAGTAACCCGTCAACATGACATCAGTATCTCTCTCTCATGGAAAGCTTTTTATCTTTTCCCCTTTAATATTTAACGGACGATTTCTCTCTCGTTTTAAGTTAAAATTTAGGGTTATAGATATAATATGCCCCTCTACTATGACGTTTTATCAAACATGCCCTCATACTATTTTTTACATCAAACATGCCCCTGTACTTTGTAAAAATATCAAACATGCCCTTTTGTTTAAATTTTCATCCAAAAATCGTTAACCAAGGTCGAACTTTGGTTTGGGTGACACCAATGTCTAAAATATCCCTAATAATTTCACTTTAGAATTTTTTTTGTTCTTTTGTATAGCCAAATAATTCAAATAATTTCACTTTGAAGAGACCCAGAGAAATAAAACGGGAGACAAAACTGACATTTTCGCTCCCATTTGCCGATGTCGGGTCGTCTAACTCTCGGTTCAACCATGATTGACGATTTTATCAATGAAAATCTTAATAGAAGGGCATGTTTGATAATTTTTTCAAAGTATAGGGGCATGTTTGATGTAAAAAATAGTAGAGGGGCATGTTTGATAAAATGTCATAGTAGAGGGGCATATTATACCTATAACCCTAAAATTTAAATTATTTTGCACAGATAAATTATATTAATTATGCTCTTTAAAATGATATCTACTTTGATATATTTTTAAAACAAAAAAATGAGTCATTTTTTACTAGTCATTACCATATGGTATGCTTCTATTTAATACCATATGGTAAGAAAGCGTACCATGATGGTATGAACATACCAATATGGTAGGAAGGTTGAATACATGATAGTATGAGTATACTAACTGTCATTTACGACTTTCAACATTGTTTACCACAAGTTACCAACTTACCACCAACATACCATAGTGGTCGAGTATTGGGTGAAAAAAATACAGGACCAAAAATTACGACTTTCAACATTGTTTACCACAAGTTACCACCAACATACCATAGTGGTCGACTATGGTAATTTTTGGTCCTGTATTTTTTTCACCCAGAAATTTGTAGATCCAATAGATCATGATGAACTCGTTCCTTCTGAGCAAACGTTTTCAAAAACGACTTAAAAATGAAGAAGTTATCATATGGTATGTAGTTGATAACGGGAGGCATGAAAAAAAGTTTCTCGAAATATATTGAAAACTGATCTCATTTTGTAGAACACAAATAACTCGTTCCATCTGTGCAAAAAAAATGAAATCCGAGTTAGATCGAAACAGATAAAGGCCAACTAAGAAAACTAGAAAAAATAAAATGTTTTTAATTCACAATCCTTATATCTGAATTTTCGCGACTCACTTAGATCTAAAGGTCCAGATTTAATTCTTATAGGTCATACCGTATCCCAAGCCCGCTTAGGGGTCAGATGAACCGGTGTAGTCAAGCGTCTTCAAGATAGTTGGTGACAGAGATTGAGTGTGATAAATCGCTCTGGTTAGCAACTATGATAGCCCCAAATATGAATGCGGTCGGATGCAGCAAGGAAGTGGTCAAGGAGAGCAGAGATTGAGTGTCCCAACTCCAAACTCACCGCCCAAGATTAATTCAACGGGTCAACCAACCGAGACTAGCGATTTTTGCCGGGTTTGATCTTGTTTGACCAAATTCGACTGAAATCATTAACGGGTGGCTGGCCCAAGTGTGTGTCAGCATTCCGGGCGGATTTAGTTGGACCAGTAGGTTCACTCACGGGTTAACAACCTTGCATCTCGCTATTACTATTTTTTGAGGAAAATTTTTTAGATTTTCCCTACATAGCAATAGGCCTAGTAATGTGCAGAAGTCCACAACTTTATCCTCACCATACAAAAAAGGAGAAAGAAACTACCCATACTTATACCTCATATCGATAAAATACACTAGAATTCAGTAGCTCTTCATTCTCACTCACAAAACTTGTTCCTACCAGACCAGTGGTGCTGCTCTTCTTCACCCCAGAGTTGATCATAAAAACCAGCACCAACCGATGGCCTCCAACCCTCCTTTGCTCTTCTGTTGCCTTGGGCTCCAATCCAACACACCTTATCAAGATGTAGTAGACCGCACCAAGGACGATTACACACAGCTTGCTCCGACTTCGTACATTTGCACTGCAAAACAAGTACATGCTCTATAACGTGATTTAAAGCTAGATGATCACTTAACATGAAACTTAATTACTTTGTTGTGTTCTCCTTTGAGTTTCGATCTTCTATCCCAGAACCTCGACAATGTCTCATTCCTATTCATGTATGTCTACCATCCAACAACCACTATAACTGTTTCTGAAAAACCAACTTTGCAGCAATTTCAGTACAAGCCTATGCTTAAACACAGGCGCTAGACAAGAAGAGCAAAGAAACATATGCTTCGCCAATAAAACAGGAAATAATCTAAAATGGTCAGATAGCTTTGGCTCTTACACAAAGGTGTGGTATATCTTGCATTTTTTTAAGAAATGGCAACATAACTTTGACATTTTGTAACAGAATAGTCATTTTCGTCAATTCCAGCTCATTTGACCACTCAAATAACAATAGTTAAATACAATAAAGTCCACCTAATCTCTCAAATCAATCCACCAGACCCATACCAGACCTGAAAAGAAAACCCATGTAAAACCGAGACTTTACATTACCGCCCTAGCAACTACTATTTTAATAGGAGTAACGCTTATAGATATGGGAGAACTCACTTACTTGGTTCCAGAACGCAAGACGCAATTTCACCGTCTGCCTCTTCCACGTCCTCTGCTCCCTCTTCCACGTCCTCTGAAACCTGCTGATCTATCTTTCTTCAGTCCCAAAGCCTCAACCCCTCTCTTCCTTCCATTCCTACCGCCTCCTTCTTGGTGGTCCTCTTTATCTTCTCTATTAAACCTGCCTGAGCTTCTTGAAATGAATGAAATCTCTCGTGACCCACCTGGCCCAAACTTCACTTTTTTCCGGTCAATGCCAGAATCACGGCCAACGTCACCAAGAGAGGCAAGCCTTTCTCCGATGGGAAGGGAATCCTCTTCAGCAAGTGACACGGAATTCCTGAATGCCTCTGCATGTCTTTCGTCCTTCACTTCATATAATCTATAAGTAAATAGCAAACAACTGGATTGTGAGGATATGCTTCTTTTACTTGCTAAACAAACTAACTACCATCCTGTCAATTACTTTTTATCTCATTAAAACATGTCTTGCATTTCCATCCTAAGAAATTTTTCTAAAACCCCAACGTATTTCTTCTTCACTTTAACAAAAAATTTGAAAATAGAAAAGTAATTTTTAAGCAAAAGCTCCAAACAAAGACCATTGTAGTGCATCATCTTTACCTAGGAACTCGTGATTTCCCTTTGATATCATCATCAGAACTGCTAAAATCCTGATCCTGGTCTTCGTCTTCCTCTGCTATGGGTTCAAAATATTCCGCTAGTGATGATGGCTGCTTCGTTGTGGCAGCCACTGGATGTAGAGCCAAGTACTCTTGTGACGTCTCATCAATTTCATACTCCTACAGAAAAAGGTGGAAGATGTAAGATGGAGGAACCAGAAGAAACAAGTGCTGAGACAACTGTCGACAAATCCTACTTGCTTCCTATTAAAAAGAAACGAATTGTGCCTTTGTCAAATGATACTGCACATCCAGGTTGAAAGGAATTCACGAAGAGAACGACATACTGAACCGCAGAAAATTCTGAAAAGTACATAGCAGCTATGTAACTGATAATTCCAAATAAATGTACCTTATTTTCAAACATTCCACCGAATCGCTCGTCATGGAATATGTCAGTACCAAGTCCTTTATTTTTCTTGGATCCCTTTTTGTTTTCAACTGCTTCTGCGTCTTTTCTTTCATTTTCAGTTTCCTTTTCAAGGATACTAGCTGCCAAGCTTCGGTTAACTTTGGGCAGCTTCTTGGCAATCTGCATAACAACCCACGAAAATAACTAATAAGGAAACAAGGTGGAAATAAGATGCAGATCCATCCGATTTCCCTACCAAACGGTAGCATAATACAAGCTGATAACATTTACAGCCTATTTTATTGTATCAAGAGATTGGAAGTCAGCAAACAATATACTGTCTGGTATTCATACACTCGACCCCTAAATATGTCTCAATGAGCGGTGTAGACAACAAGCCCCTATAATATACACCCGAGATATGGATAAGGGACTTGGAACTGTAGTATGGAAATATCTTGACTACCATTCTAGTCCAGCATAAAATGATGGAGAGAAAAGGAAGCTCCTAAGTGAAATATGGACAGCTCACCGTAATTCGAGAGGCACGTTGCTCCTCAAGCTTCTCTTGTTTACGCTTCTCTATGTAAGCTTCATATTCAAAAGGATCAGCTTTAGCCTTCTCCTGCAGGGGAATGCAAAACATTAGTTACATGACATGGGGAAGAAAAAGAGGCATTGGTAGAGATGGGCACATTGCTGTTGAACAGACTAGTTAAAGCTGTAAAAACAAATGTTTTGGTAGTTAACTCATGCTGCTTTGGAGTTTCATCACAATAAGCATCAACACTCATCAGAGTAAGCATCAACCACAAATAGCATGCATTATACAGATGATGGTGATAGTTGATCTATCAAACATTGAAATTTCAGTGAGCACGCCAACCCCCACCTAGCGAGGGTAACAAATAAATCGAACAGAAGTGCACTTAATCTAGCACAGTTGGCTTAAAATTCACTAAATGCATGTTGAGTAGTTACCCTCTGATACAGGCGGTAGTCCACAAAGAAGCCATGCATGTATGCTCTTAGATGATTAGTGCCGATATATTTTGTCATGTTTAATCTTTCGAGATCCTCTTTCGTCAAGAATTTGAAATTGTCATATACAGTGGTTTGAGCATTCTCCTCCAGCTCTTCCTGCAAATAATCAACTCAAGACAGTTTTATATAGAACCTTCGGGTGCAAAACAATTCAAACTGAAACCAGATAAGATCATGAAACCACACCGTTAGATTCTCCAAGCTAGCAATCCACTTGGGAGCAGGCCCAAGAGAAGGTATGAAATATGATGGTATATGGCTTCCATCCAAAGCCAGCAACATGAGACCACTGTTACTGAAAATGCAGATATCATTTATTGCTCCGCCATTGGGCTCTATACTGGTCATTCCCTCACCCTGAATAAAATCATGAACAAGTTGAAGTTGAGCAAGGAGATAAAAGTAAAAGAAACCACCGTGCAAGAGCACCAAATATACAGCAAGGTGTTACATGAAATAGATTCATCCTAGTGCCATAGTACCACGCCGCGCAAGGAGAATAACAAAATAATGGAAATTTTGGTTTTTATTAAACCACGCCGCGCATATGAGAACTGCATCTCAAAAAATTAGCACCCAAGTCCGTCCTTTTCCAGCTAGGATTGGAGATTACATGCCATATTTCGTATTTCGTGAACAGTTATGCCCAAGAATGGAATTCATCAAACTCATCATCTGCTCAAGTTACGGAAAAATGAAAAATTTGCTCACCGTCTCAGGATCCCATATTCTAACAATATGGCTGTCTGTAGTAATTAATTTGCGCCCCTCAGAATTAAGAGAACTGTGCCACTTGATGTCCAATATCGGACTGCCATACCTACAAAAGAAGGATTTAAGCTTTAGTCAAGCAAGGGATTGACAAAATCACTGACTATGCAGAAACAAGCGTGAAGTAGAGTGAGCTTACAGATGATCCTTAATTCGTATGGGATTTGATGAACGCAGGTCATACAACAATACCTGCACATTCAACAAGAACAATTATGACTTTTTCACACACACAAAAAAAAACAATCTGTATATTAATGGCAGCCATCATCCAGTTATGATCCTTGTAACCACGCACCACCTGATGTTACCTAGTCATTTGAAATTAGAATGACCTTTAAGATTAACTTATGTCATTTTAATTTTTTTGGAGTGAGTCAGCTACTTTATAACAGAACCATCCAATACTTGAACTCCTGGGTTGTTATAAAAGATCTCGTCAGTGTCCTCAATACTGGGATGGAATTAAGAAATGCAAGTTCAACCTTAAAGTAATGTCATGCAATATTTGACTTGCTTAGGCATTAAGCCACAACTCTAAAAGTTTTAGAATGCGTTACATCTCACAGTTTTCCTCTTCCGGACCGATATAAGAGATGGGAATTTCAAATTCATCATCAACACCATGCCAAACACTGCTTGTTAGCTGCCATCTTAAGCCAAACTACAAGTTTGGTACTTTGGTTATTCATGGCCACAAGGAAGAACGACATATAGAGGAAAACGAGGTTCAATTATATTCTCTTAAAAACAAGGGTCGAATCTAAGGCTGAGAATAACACTGCACCTTTCCACCACTACTTCCAACAGCCATCAAGAAACCACCATCTCCATCAAACTCCAGTGCAGTTACCTCCTGTAATGTAGTAAATATATAAAAAGAGCATTTCAGTCAAGGGCAGAATGGAATATAATCGACAAGTCTAAACCCAAATTTAACAAGGTGAAAGCCATAGAAAAGAGTCAACTTGACAAGATATAAAGCATGCAACAAAAGGACGATAAAAGAAAATAACCAAAAGCACAAAGAATATAACCACGCCTCCCAGAACAATCAACGTTAGCTCCAAAGTCTAGAAGTTGACATACCATGTGGATATTGTTGTGTGCCAAAATCCTAACATTATGAGCAAGATCTGAACCAAATTCTATCTCCAATTACTTGTAAGATCAGTATAAGGAGAGAGCCTACCTGGTTTGTATCACCAGAAGGTGCAACAGCATCAATTCTGCCAACTGAAGACTCCACTCTTGGGTCAAAACATTCAACAGCACCATCCTCACCACCACAAGCAACAAGTCCATGAACCTTGCTGTTATCATGAAAGGAAGTTGCCCGATGCTCAGATGCTAAGAAAATTATAAAATGATTGCTAACACTAAATATCCATAATTTACCTGCGTGAAACTACATTTAGAGCTGGCGATCGAGTGTTAAAAGACTTGAGAAATTGTCCCTGAAGAAGTTGAAAATGGTAAGTTAGCCACATACGACTGCTTTTTCATCCTTTTGTACCATTGCTGTTGGCCCCAAAACTTTTCTTAGGATAATTTAGATGCAATGTGGAATAACAATATAAAGGCACTAACTAAATAGCAAGAAGACAAAAGACATAACAAGACTGAACGACAAAAAAATGCAACAAGCACGGCAGCACTTCCTAATCCATAGCAAAAAGACCACACGTGCAGTTGCTGTTGCCTAAAAGCATTTTATTCCAAATGACCATTTCACTGGTCTGAAGGGGTCCCAGCATCACATATACTATGATCCAATTGTTTCTCGGTTTCTCAGAGCTATTTAAACACCAGTATGTTTGTCATCACCCTAACTCCTCTTGTCACCAATACAGAATATGATTTTGCATTCAATTTGAAGCAGATCAATGGTACTAAGAAGATAAGGTAGAAAATATAACTGATTGCCAGAGGCAAGGAAATCAACCAATTGACAATACATATCAGATGATGATGAAACCTATAGCCAAAGTATCTAAGAAAAGTCCAATATAATTCACATCCAATGCGAAAAGCTCAGTACCTTCTCTAAATTAATACGATACAAATCTGGTGACGAAGCAGCACAAAACAAGTCACATGACCAGCAGTCATATTCAATATCTCTACCCATCCTGTAAAACAGACAAGAAAGCTGCTCAAACTCTACATTCCCACAATTACATAAGAGAAGCAAACTAGATATCAAGAAATGTCCCCAAGGCTTCAAGGAACTTTAGTAACATTTTGTTACCTATGATTGTAGGTTACACAAAGTTATAGTTTCTGACAAATACACAAGCAAATACATGCTTGCCAAACAATGCCTAGATAACAAGGCAGTGCTATTTGACCTGTTAAGTTAAACAGTACCTGAAACTATAAGTGCGAGTAAAAATAAGTCCTTTGTAGTTTTATATAAAAAAAAAACATTCTTCAAATTTTGAAGCTTAGAAGCTTTTATATACAGCTCTGTTCAAGAAGATTCAACCAGCCATTGGGTTGAAAGTGGGGGCTGAAACATATTCTTTAGTTATTCCTAAATAAACATCTACCTTGGACAGACTTAAATTCCTTATTAAGCCTTTTGACATCTGGTTATGCTAACCATTTCCATCTTTGAAAACTTCTAGTAAACTTGATCCTTAAACAGAAATGGTGGCAGATAACATGCTCAGGCATTTAATACCCAAATGAATGGAAAAATTTGCTCTCATGGATCTAAGATATACAGACTACTTGAAATCACACATCTAATGGATCTCATCCAAATCATTCCCTTTTTGCTTCTCTTACAGAAGAAAGACCAAAAAAAGGGGAAATGTGAAGGCATCAAACGGCCAATGAGCTTACAAATAAGTTATGTGAGAGCAAGAAGGCATGACGTTGTGAAATATGAAGTATACAACATTAGTAGCAACATCAACTAACAGAGAAGAGAGAACCTGGGAATCCGCAAAGTGTAATGCTTTCCATACTTTGCATGTAGGCAAACAGAACGATCGGCACAAAGAAATGCAAGCTTTGAATAGTCGTCATCCAATATCTGAAGAAAATCAATGACAGTGTTAGAACTGGATTTGAACAGGCAATACAATAGTAAAAAGAAATAACAAATCCAAAATATATAATACTATATGGCACCGATTAGAGGGAGCCGCATGTGGCCCTTTAAAGATTTAAGCAACACTAACCTAGTGAATCCAAACATTGGTCCAACCCCCCTTCCCTTTTCTTTTACAGTTCATACGTGGGCCTATTTGTTTGTGATAAAAAAAAAGTTTAGAAATTTCAACCATTCCATGTCACCAAAACGGAAATGTTCTTTCCCAGCATTCACTTAAATATAAATTCTGAAATTAAAAACTTCAATACAGTGAGAGACAAAACAGACCGACCTGAAAATCAATTATCTCAGAGTCGAAGTGCCTTTCAAACTTCATGGATAGCTCTCTTAACTCATAAACTTTGACTTGCGGGGGGTATATTCCTGCACTTCAGAAGAGGATCATTAGACTGATATTGGCAGTAGCCAGATGCTCAAGAAAACGAATGAATAAGAAATTTTTACACTACCTGAAGCGATAACATACTCTTCATTAGGTGTTATCTTGATTCGGGATGTAGCAGTTTCAAACCTCAGATCCTGAACCAACTCCACTCTCTGCTGATAATCTAGCAACACAAGCAAACAGGACAGGCAAAAACCTCAGAAAATAAGCAACTCTTCACAGATTCATATCCAAAAGGATTTAACAGCAATATATATCTATCAAAATGCAGTAGGTCCAAAGTCCTAACATATCAGTCTCGAGTGCTAGCAGGAAAGTTCTCACGTAAAACCCCCTGTACTTCAGATGACAGATAGCGATGATCCAAGACATAATATCAACATCACCACGACACCTTTGATAAAAAGTTTCTTCCTTTTGCTCTAGTTTTTTAACTTCTCACCAACGATAGCTAATACGTCTTCACAGAAATAAACAACCACAACCAGCCCATGAGAAAAAGGAGAAATATAACCCAATAGCTAGTTCATCCATTGTAAAAATCATCTCTCGATTTTCAATCTTGTGTTCTTCCTTTAAGGTATAAAGATTTAAATTCAACTTGTTTCCCAGAGCAGCAACACACCACACCTGAGTCTATTGTTTAACCTTCTCCGCGGCAAACACAAAAAGAAGCGGGGAGAGGGGTTAACCTAGGGCTTATGACAAATTACTCCACCACAGAATTTTAGCCGTCCAATTACCGGCCACGTTCAAAATGAGAAAACCAATATGAAAATGCAAGGCTAACAAAGCCGCAATAACAGAGGAAGGGGGCAAGGGTGAGGAATCAATCATACGAGGGTCTTTGCGAAGAGCTCGTTTCTTCTTAGGGTTTAGCCAAGTTGGAAGATTGCGTTGGGAGATGCTGTACACCTTTACTCCATTGATGGAGGTGGACTTCAAGTTTCCTCCTTGAGTTGCCATCCGGACTGGGCTTTAGAGCTGACGTAAACGGCGAGCTGACAACCAAAAAATCAGCTGACGGAAGGAGGACGAGCAAGGAGTGGACAGCGGCGAGCCGGAGGGGAGGGAGGCGGCGATGGGTAACTGGGAAAGCCGAGGAATGGGTGACTCGGGGCACACCGGTGTCTTGGTTTCAACTTCCAAGAGCTTTGAATTCACAAGGGTTTAGCGCTTTAGGGTTAGGGGAATAGGGTCTAACCCCTTGAGGTATCACCGATTACTGTCAAAAAAAGTATCACCGATTCACCGTAATAACTACGGATATTTTTTTAAGAAATATCATTGTTAAAAAAAAATTCAAAAATAGCACTCCGAAAAATTAAAAAAATAGCACCATTTCCCAAAAACCGTCACCTGTATCAACGGTTTAGGCGAAAACAGCCACTCGGGATGCATTTTTCGATGAAAACCACACTGGTAGGGGTCGATTTTGCAAACCGCATGGGGTCGTGGCGGTTTGGTTGCAAACCGCACCCCACCATGCGGTTTGCTTGCAGACCGCACCCCCACCATGCGGTCTGGTTTTTTTTTTTTTTTTTAAAAATCCTAACCTAGGTGGAAACTTCAAACGAACGTATCTTTGTGTTCGGGTATCCGATCGTCGCGATTTTTTTTTATTCCGCATAACTTTTCGAGATCTTGCAAGCCGAAGATTGTTGAAGGTGGTTTTGAAGTTTCCACCTAGGTTAGGAATTTTCAAAAAAAAAAAAAAACAGACCGCATGGTGGGGTGCGGTCTGCAAACAAACCGCATGGTGGGGTGCGGTCTGCAAACAAACCGCATGGTGGGGGTGCGGTTTGCAACCAAACCGCCACGACCCCATGCGGTTTGCAAAACCGGGTCCTCCTAGTGCGGTTTTCATCGAAAAACGCACCATTGGGTGCCGGTTTTCGCCTAAACCGCTGGTACGAGTGGCGATTTTTGGGAAAGGGTGCTACTTTTGGAATTTTTCTGAGTTGGGTGCTATTTTTGGAAAAAAAAATTAACAATGATATTTCTTAAAAAAATACCCGTAGTTATTACGGTGAATCGGTGATACTTTTTTTTACAGTAATCGGTGATACCTCAAGGGGTTAGAACCTAACCCTAAACCCTTGTGAATTCAAAGCACTTGGAAGTTGAAACCAAGACAACTTTCTATCATGCGCAAATCCAACTTTCTATCATACCACCCCGGTCTAAGATAGGGTCAGTAACCACTGGTTACTGACCCATCAGTAACCACACGGGAGTCGTAGATCTGGGGATGGAGCAATCGTGTGGCTGGGCTGGATGCGGGGTGGGGAGGGGCATTTTTGTCCGTTTTTGTATTTTTAATTTTATTTATTTATTTATTTCGCATTTCAATGACTGGTTTTTCAATGAAAGAGAGAGAATGACATTTTCTCTACAACTCAACTTTCTTCCTTCTCTCTTCCTTTTTTTCAATCTCTTTCCAGATCCTTTCTCTTTCTCTATTCCTTCTCTCTTACTTTTTCTCTCACAATCTCCTTTTCAAATCTAGATCTGCTCTCTTCCTTCTTCATTTTTTTCTTTAGCAATCGACGAATAAAAATCGTAGCCACTCTCTTTCATTGCATTTCTTCTCTTCATCAACTCGTTGGCCTCAATTCCGATCTTTCTCATTTTTTTGGCATTTTGGTGTTCTTGATTGAGGAAGAGGAAATGAGAGGCATCAGAAGACGATTTTTTTTCTCTCCCTCCTTCTGTTTTTTTCCTTTTAGATAATATATATTGATATTATGACTCTATACCATATGGTATTGGGTGGTAACGAAATATATATTGATATTACCACACTATACCCTATGGTAGTGTATGGTATTGCGTGGTAACGAAATATATATTGATATTACCACACTATATCATATGGTATTGTGTGGTAACGAAATTGGTGGACCCTAAGAAATTTTTATTTTATTGGACGGAAACAACCCCACCCCGAGGTCACTCCGGCCACCTCAGGCTCACTCCGGTCACCGGGTCAAATACCTTGGGTCACCTTTGGGCCACTCCGGCCACCCCGGGGTCAAATACCTTGGGTCACATTGGGGTCACTCCGGCCACCCCGGGGTCAAATACCTTGGGTCACCTTGGGGTCACTCCGGCCATCCCGGGGTCAAATACCTTGGGTCACCTTGGGGTCACTCCGGCCACCCCGGGATCAAATACCTTGGGTCACCTTGGGGTCACTCCGGCCACCCCGGGGTCAAATACCTTGGGTCACCTTTGGGTCACTCCGGCCACCCCGGGGTCAAATACCTTGGGTCACCTTGGGGTCACTCCGGCCACCCCGGGGTCAAATACCTTGGGTCACCTTTGGGTCGCTCTGGCCACCCCGGGGTCAAATACCCTAGGTCACCTCGGCTACCTTGGGCTCTCCGCCCATCCCAGGTCACCTCAACCTTTAGCCACGTACCTCCGCAACGTGTCCATAGACCAAACCACCAAGCACTCGAAAGAGACACGTACTCCCTTCATGTTCGCCTCGGAGCCTCTATAAAAGGCCACTTCGTCTCCAGATTGAGGTAAGCAAAAATTCCCCATGCCTAGACTCGTAAACTCGCGCTATGATTAGCGCAGATATTCATTCTCAACTCCATTCCCTCATCTTTCTTTTCAAGGTCATATTCCTCTCCACTCAACACCCTCACTAACTTGAGCGTCGGAGAGTGTCCCCGCCGAGATCGGCCGGCGGACCCTTTTTGCAGGAGACGACCGGAGCTAACATCCCGAGTGAAGTACGAGGTGAAAGGTGGCCGTCGACCGACTCCCTCCGGTGCCCAGCATAAAAAAATTCGACGTCGGCTACAACCCCGACATCAACAATTGGCGCCCCACCATGGGGCCCCAGAGCAAAAGGTTGAAGAAAAAAAAAACTTATCGCCACTACTTCGCTCATGATGGAGTCTCAAAGCTCCCTACACCCCCAAACTGGCGGTGGAGTTCGAGACAAAGAGCCAGCTCCTCCACCGTCTGTTGAAGAGCTTCAAGCCCAAGTTGAGCAGTTGAAAGCCCAAGTCCAAGCATTGACATCAGCTTCTCCTCCAACCCATGGGCTGCATGCCAGCTCTAGCCACCAACCGGAGACCACCGGAGGGTCAGCCAACCCAGTTGGGACGTCAATCCCTCCTCCACCTCCCCAACCAGGGGATCTCTCATACCTTGAGGCCCACCTAACTAGGGGTGGGCATGCGGTTCGGTAAAACCGAACCGAACCGCACCGAACCGAACAAAAACCGACCGAAACCGAATTTACCCTTATTAGGTTCGGAATTCGGAATGAAATAGATCATATTTCGGGAGACAACTTCTTTTGAACCGAACCGAATAACCGAAAAACCGACCGAAATTCCGAATTTTTAACCTATACATGATTTGCCCAGAGCCCACTCCCACCCCCGGGCCCAAGTTCCCAAACCAGCCCAATTTTTTAACCCTCAGCCCATCCTTTGATAACCCAATGCCTGCCCACCCACCCACAGCTACTCTAGCCCACTGAAAGACTGAAACCCAGCCCACTGAAACCACAATACCACATCTTCTCCAAAGTCCAAACCCTAGCCTCACTTGTGTGCCGCCAACCCATCCTCTCCAACCTCACATTACGACCGCCACCGCTGCGCAGTCCGCCATCAAATCGCCATCGTTCCACCATCTTCTTCTTCACACGGACACCACGACGGAAGAGGAGAGGAGATCGCCGACATGCAAAGTCCATCCACAGCTGATTCGACCTGGAGGCGGAGCAAAGAGCGGTCAGTAGAGGTGGAGAGGGAAGTCGGAAATCGAGGCAGAGAGCGGAGACGGAGAGGCAAGAGCCGGATAGAGGAATTGGTGGCTGCCGTCTTATGCGGCTTCTTCCGAGAGGAGGGAGATAGTGGCGGCAGTGGGAGGCAGGCGGAGCGCTCAGTAGGGGCGTCGAGGAAGTCGGAGATCGAGAGATTGGTGACGGCCGTTTCTGTAAATTCTTCTGAGAGAGCGATAGATAGAGAGTAGGGAGAGAGTAGCGGCAGAGAAGGGAGAGAGTGGTGGCGGAGAATGAGGGGGGGAAAAAAGAGGAGGCGATGATATTTCGGTTAAGGCCTTGAAACCGGACCGAACCGAGATATAATTTGGTTCGGCCAAACCGAACCGAATTATATCTCGGTTCGAATTCGGTTGGGGGATATATGGGTTCGGAACATCGGTACATACCATTTCGGTTCGGTTCAAACCGAACCGACCGAACGCCCACCCCTACACCTAACTCCCAGTTTCATGGCGGACCCTGGGCAAGGCAAGCCTTTGGCCCGTTCAATCCTGGATCAGCCCAACCCCCCGAACTTCCAAATGCCTCACCACCTTCCAGAATACTACGGCACTTCCGACCCAGAGGATCACCTCAGTGCCTTCCAGATTTTGATGCCTTTCGTGGGGGCATCTGACGCTACCATGTGCAAACTCTTCCCCACCACCCTCCGGGGAGTGGCATTTCAATGGTATACTCAGTTGCGAAATGGCATAATCACCAGCTTTGAGGAGTTCGCCACCCTCTTTCGAGCCAAGTTTTTTGCCCAGAAACGGCCAAATGTGGACGTGTCTCGCCTCATGAGCACTAAACAAAGAGAGTACGAGACCCTTAAGGGGTATTACTCTCGATTCAGCACGATTGCTGTCGGAGTTACCAATCTAACCACGGAAAATGCAACTCATGCTCTCGTATTTGGAACAAGCAACTCTCTTCTCCGAGCGTCACTCATAAAGCGGCGTCCCCGCAACATGATGGATCTCCAGGAACGGGTGTCCAAATACATCGCCCTCGATGAAACCTTACAAGAGGCAGCTCCCCCAAAGCATGCTCGGTCACCGCAAAAAAGGAAACGAGAACCCTCACCTCCACATCGTTCAGACTCACCAAAGTCTCGTGACCATCAACAAGGTCATTCTCCGTCTGGCCAAGGCAGGGGGGCACGTCGAGACAGGCGTCGGGAGGAGTCAATCCCTAAGCCTGACCGGACTTTCACCCCACTAACGGAGTCCCGCAAGACCATTCTTCAGATAATCCAGGAGAAGAAGATCCCCATATCCTGGCCAAACCCCATAACAAAGGAACCTCGGAAAGGGAAACACAAGTACTGTGATTTCCACCGGGGATATGGCCATGACACCGAGCGATGTTGGACATTAAAAAACTACATCGAAGACCTGGTAC